ATATTTAAAAATTATATTTTTTTTTCAGAATATTATTACAAATCAAAAGATTTGTACTTATACTTGTCGGATATTATTCCAAATATATGAATTCCACAATCTGTGCATGGAATAATATAAATTCCGATATAGACAACCTTCCGAAAAAAATATGATCATAAAACCAAGAAGACTGGAACATATATAAAGTAAATATAGTTACAAACACGCGGACTTTTACTAGCGGCACTTCGAACCGAGAATAGCTGAGAGTTTCTTAACGCGCAGAAGGCTTAGCACGCACTTCTAATAATGAGTGATATTAGTGAATATAAAAAATCAAAAGAATATCGTGACGAAATGCTAATAAAAACAGTGAAAACGATTCCATCTCTATGGAGTTCGCAGATACCGTTAAGCAAATAAACGAAAGCCAAAAAGAAAATGCGATGGAGACAAGTGGAAGAAAATTTGTATAAATATTTAAAACATATTACACGAAGCAAAGTTGCAAAGTGTAAGCTATTTTAAGAACAAAAATTAATTTTTTGTTTATCATAAACAAAATGTAATCATTACAGGATTAATGACTGCGGATGAAGCTATGAAAAAGTGGAAATAGGGACTGCTTCAAGTACTAAAAAGAAAAAAAGGTCAAATAAAGGAGACTGATCATAAATGTGATCATTCATATTAAATATATATGAAGGAAGTGAGCGTAAAGATTGACATATTAAAACATTTAATATATTTTTAGTTTTAAATAATCTGTCTTGATTATATCTTACAGTTTTTTCTGCATTCTTACATATAATAATAACATCGGATGATGCTTGACACAAACCATTTCGATTTTTTCGCTGTAAAAGTTTATCAGAACGATATGCGTATGATTCTTTTTGTGCTTCGTTTAAAATGAGCAATTGTTTACAAAAGAAGCAATCTATTTTTTTTTAACAGTCGGCAATATAACCAGATATGTACGTAATAACTTCATCAACATATTCAGTTAAGCACCAATTGTTTTGTTTAAAATAATCATGACGTCTGTAAAGAGTTTGCATTTTTATTGTTTTTGGACCGTCATCCCTGCATCATAAAAAATCAAAATATAGGGTGAGCTTATAACAAAACTAAATTCACTGCGACAAATGTACTTACATATTCATGAAAAATCTCGATTGAGTCGATCCTGCATTCCACGGCTCTAGCAATTCACTGCAAATTCTTGCATTTTTGTAAGTAGTCAACAGTATAACCAATGGTATTAAACCATTTTCTCGCCTTTCTGCATCTGATGGAAAACTAAACATATAGAATATTGCATTATTTTCGATTGAAACTGAAGAATATTTATGTCTAATACAAATATAAAGTTATGAAATCTAATCACATCTCTAAATTTATACATTACCTGTGAAATTGCCGTGATAATAAAACAGAATGTTTTTTCCAGCATATGTAGCTTAACCATTGCTAACCATTGCAATTCTAGTCGCACTTTTGCTATAATGATAAATGAAAATAATTATCATTTCGATTAAGAATATGATAGCTCTATTTAGAAAACAATACTTACATTTTGTATTATTTCTCTTCGATGGAATTTTCGGTTTGAAACAGTTGCAGGATCATGTACGCAAATGTACGTATGGTCTTCACTTCGCAGTTCCCAGTTTCACCGTTCCCAATTCCCTGTTTCTCTATTTCTACGCATGTATGAAAGAGAGAGAACGCAAGGGGCACGAAACAGAGTATGTCCTTTTCTACGTGAGCATCGGCCCCCACTCCTTAAATAAGGGCAAATGCTCGGTCTAGATATACTATGTCTATGGACACAAAGCTTAATACAGAAACTATAGGCAATTGTCCATATCTATAAGGTCTATGGTATATGTTTCTCTAATATCAATATCTATGATTTGCCGGGATTTCGAACTTGATTACGAACTTGAAGGAGTGAATAAAAATATACGGCCTTTCCGGCAATCCGTTACCAAAGAAATGTATCGATTGGCATATATTTTAAGAGATTCTTATCCACCAGAATTGAGAATACATTGCTGTACATTAAATATGTTGGGTCAATGCATATGGACATGTTTAGCTTGCAGTACAACTTCCAGTAATAGTAAGTCTTTTAATTATTTAAATATATTAACAAATTGTTAAGGGACTGCTATGTAAGACATAAAAAGAAAATAAGTGTGCCAAGACCTGCATCGAGACAGAAACAGTTCTGTTTTTTTGACATAATGAGCTACATCGACGAAGCACCACAAAATGCACCATCCATGCTTATTTTAATTATGAGTAATATTAATGACAATGAATACGAAGAATCAAAAGAACATCGCGCCGAAATACTAATAAAAATAGTGAAAACAATACCGGCCTTGTGGAATGCACAAATTTCGTTAAGCGAACGAACGAAAGCCAAGAAAAAAGCCGAAAAATTGACAAAAAAGCCGAAAAATATTGACAAAAAAGCCGTGGAGGTTACAATAATAAGTTGTCATACACTGAGAAAATGCATTCGTTAGAAAAAAAATGTCATGAAATCAGAAATTGTCCGACTGCAGGAAGTGCAATCTAAGTTGAAGATCTTCATCTAGAATGCGTTGAAAATGAAGGAAATGAACGAAATGAACAACCGGTAAGGTTGCAGGAGAGCACAAGAAAAAAAGATGAACGAGAAAAAGATGATTACAAATCCGAAAAAAGAACTATTAACAGAAAAAGATATCATATTAGACAGATCGCGCGTATCTGTAGACAATTTTAAAAGCAATAACATGAAAATGTTTGCCGATAGTAACGAGAACCGGACAGCTGCAGCCGAGGCCAAAAATAATTCAACGAATATCATAAATCGTTTCAAGAAGATATGTCTTCTCAAAAAGAATAATTTCAAATCTGAAATTAAACTACTAAAAAGGAGAATAACCGGGTAATAAACGGGTGTGTGTCCAATCTCAAGACGAACAATATGAACAAGCAAGCAATTTGCAGAAGCAGCATACTGATACAACCAAGAATATCAGAGAGCTCGAGACTGATAGTAATATCTTAAAACATAAAAATGAAGATCTGATAAACAAATTAAAGAAAGACACAGAAGATTTGCAAAGCAGCAAAGAAAAGTGTTACATAAAACACTCTACAGAAATTTGGAATTGCAATTTAATCAATCACAGGCGGAGTGCGTAGAGTTAATAAAGAAAAATCAAGAGTCCGAGAACAAAATTCATCGATTAAAAACATCGTTAAACGTTCTGCAGCAAAAGATTCTGCATCAAATCCATTTGAAAACTCAGAATGTAAAAAAGAAACAATACTGTGACTTTCGCTCTTGCTCGCAATCTCTCTTGCTTGTGTGGAGCGAGAGAGATTCCTTTGTCATCGATTATATACGAAAGTGCGACAAGCTTCTTCAAAATCTCTCGCGCGATATTAATTACTCGAAATATAATAATAGAATACGCGGATTGAACAAAAAATAAGTCGGCGAAGGCGGACTCAAAATTTTTAGCAAAAGAGACCAAAAAAGGAAATATGTTTATGGCACGCAGTTAATGTAACCATCCTCGCCTTTCTCTGGGAGTAATGTGTAGGTTAAGTAAACGCTCGACCAGCGAACTCACTTAATAAAGAAATTGCGCAACCTGGCATTGTTTAGTAATTAATTTAGAGTCTGACTTAACCGACTTCAAATATGTAGTCGCGGTCTTTATAGCAGGAGAATGAGCGAGATAAAGATAAATATTTTTCGGATAATAAGTTATAAACAAACAAGAGGAGATGTTACAATGTATATACAATATATATACATTGTAACAAACACTCCACTTGTTTCGTATTATAATCTATGTACTAATGTCTTTTGGCTCATTATCGTGAGACTTCGATTATCATTGCAATATCAGATGTCGCTTTGACAAGCTATCGATTTGATACAGAAATATCTTGACGGGCTCTCGCGCTTCACTCTCGTCTCTGACATGAATACAAGACATTGTCCACACAAACAGTATTCATAATAAATTTGTTATATTATAATTCGCGCGGTGTTAATCAATTCACCCGCTTTCCAAGAGATCGCGGCTCAAAAAAGAAAAGACAGAGGTCTGTATCTCGTTTGCCTCGCTTGAGGGATATTACCCGAGAATTACACAAATATTTAACACCACTATATAGTAGAGCCCAAAAATGATTATCAAAATTGGGTACTTATCAATTTCCTCGCTCGCGCAACCGCTTCGCTCGCTAACATCAGCTGGTCCTTCGAGCCGAATTTCCGAATTGGTCCGATGATTGTGTATGGAGTAAGCGACGAAGGGTGATCTTCATCCGTAATTTTCCGCTCACCTGAAACGACGAGATGAGTCAAGAAATGGAAGGCATTATATGGACATATTTCAACTTCTATGGTTGATCGATCACGATCAACGATGATTAGTACGCGTATCAATAACGCGGTTTTGTCCCGGGTTGAGACGCTCAACAACGAATTCGCGCGACGACCGATAATTGGCGCAGAACGCGACGAAACGGAAACGAACGAGATTCGATAAAACTTAAAATCGAGAGACTACCGTGAAGACGTCATATCTCTATCGAGTTCCGCACGAAAGAGAGCGATTAATCAGCCACGCGATGCTTCGTTTCCGTGATAAGGACCGCCAGAAGGAGGTGAATCCCGCACATGGCGCTCTGTGATTGATTCGCGGATCTATCGAGTTGCGCAGGATGTGGAAATGCCGTGGCCGCGAGCTTTGCGCGTGTCCTGCGTTGCGAAATCATCGAATTTTCGGTCACGCATACGCTTAACAGTCCCTACTCAATATGCGTATCACGGAAGTACCGAGATTCAGGGCACCCGGGCCGAATCAGTCGATTCCTTAATTGAAATCTCGCGGCTGAGCGATTCAATCCCGGAGCGCTCCTTAACTATTAATCATATTAAAAAAGGAATTTTAAACTATATTATTAAATTTCTACGAAAAGACAATTGTCCAGAATTATTTTTACTTTGGCTATGTAGTAATCAATCATGTGAAAAGTTTTTTTACTAAATTAGAGTCATGTCGTCAACTTATTCCACAATTACAAACTTTGACATGTTAGATTTACTAAACAAGAATGTACGAATTCAATGTTTGAATAATATTTCAATTGATACCGGTTAGTACTTATACATGCATATTTTTAAGTTATAAAGTATTAAATGTTTATTCAGAATTAATGATATTAATTTTTAATTGTTTCAGGTGATCATTCCAGATTTCCTAGAGAAGATAATATCAAAATGGGAAAAAACAGTTCAGAAAAGATATTCCTTGTCACATTCCAAAAATTAAAACCCTTTAAATATAATTAATAACTCATTTAAACATAAATCGATAAAGCTAAATACCAAGAAATTAGTTGATAATTAAATAAATAAAATTAAAAATGATTTTGGATGATCCAAACCATGATATGGAAAATGTTGATTTGCCTGCGAATTTAATACAAATTTCTGAAAATGAAAATTCAAACGATACTGAAGCCGTCAATAATTGTATGTACAAAATAAAATTACATCCAAAAAATTCGCGAGACATAAAAAATGATATAAATACAAGAGTGACAAGAATAACAATATCAGAAATAAAAGATTATACTTTTGCGAAAGAAAGTAATAATAAATTTAAAGATAATCATTTTTAAAAATGCAAATTAAAAATAAGGTATTATTGATAAGGAAATCGACACTATGTTGGTTTTTTGCTACGAAATGCGGCCGATTGTCTACAGATAGATTGTTACGAATAAGAAGAATGTCCGGAGAAAAAACTAAAAAAGAATTGAATAAAAGGAGTGTCAATCTCAGGGCCAATAGACAAAGAAAACTCTAAATAATAACTATTTATCTGAAAGTACATCTTCTATAGTAGTTAAACTCGAATTTGAAGGCAAAAGTATTAATGAAAAAAAAAACGAAGAGAATGAAACTAACTCGGAGAATATAGAAATAGAAAAATACTATACTGTTTACTATGATAACACATTAAACTCGAATTTGAAGGCAAAAGTATTAATAAAAAAAAAAAACTAAGAGAATGAAACTAACTCGGAGAATATAGAAATAGAAAAATACTATACTGTTTACTATGATAACACATTTTATATTGGAAGAATCATTGAAGAATTTGAAAACTCTACAAAAATTAAATTTTTAAAATCCAAATTAGACATTTATAAATGGCCCAAAGACATTCAAATAATACAAAATGAATGCTTGTTCTTTGGACCAATTACTCTAATTGGAAACAAATTATTTCATTTAAGTAGACATGAAAAAATATTAATTGAAAAACAGAGAATTACAAAGAACTAAAGAGAATATATAATGATTAATTATAAATAACTCAAATATACATATGCCATATGGCACCTTGGCTCGTGCACTTACCTCTCTGTGTTTCGGTGTCGACGGAAAAAAAACGGACTATGCGCACTGGTCTCGCTCCGAATCTCAAATATATATATTATCGCTGGAAGAAAGTCTTCCGATGACAGTATCGACGCTAGTCCTTTTCCGACTCACTCTGTACAAAGGCGGCATCAAAACGGCCAGACGAAGGTGGAGCCATATCAGTGGGATGGAGCTCGCCGATCCAAACTTCCTAGCTGCGGAGCCGGTGGACCTCTTGCTGTGCGCGGACGTCTACGCCTCCAACCGGATTTTCGATGGGGAGCGCCGCACGAACTAGTGGCGCAGAAAACAACATGGATCCTTAGTATGGATCCTCTCGGGAACCGTCAGAGTGTCACCAGTCACCAGTCACCAGTGTCGGACCGATGAGAATCAATCTGTTCTTGGGCAGCAGTTTTGACAGCAGGAAGCCCTTCACTCAACGAGCTTGTCGCTCATCAACTCCGGTCGCGGGGTCATTCTTGGCTCCGGCGTGAGATGTCTTCGTGGCTGGCCCTAGCCGGCCTATCCAGCAACGAAGGACTGCCTGAGGTGCGAACCCGAATCGATGCAGCTGGAGCGCAACTTCCTCCCGAGGAAGAGCCAGTATTGATGCGCTCTTTGCTTTCTAACCGCTCTAACTGCTGCTGCGCCCGACGGAGGCTTTTGCGCCGAGGAAATGCAAGCTTGGCGCAACGAAACCGGACTATTCTCCTGGTAGCGTTTTGTCTGCAAACGAGCTAGAGGACGCACGCCTATTGTTGAAGCGGCCGTTGCCATCTGTAAAATACAAGAGGGTGACGCCAGCAAAGTCCTTTCTCCACATCGGCGTCGACTACGCCGGATCTATCTAGCTGCAGACGACCAAGAGGCGCAAGGTGCTCCACCAGGTGCTCCAAGCAATCATCATCTGCCTGTTCACAAGAGCCGTACAGCTGTAGGTCGTCGCAGAGTACACCGCCGCATTCTGGCGGTCTTTCGACAGCAAAGCGTGCGAAAAACTGCGGAGCTTAGTCGCGTGAGCGGCCTCTAGAGCCGCCGCTCTAACTTGTAGATGCAACGATCTCCCTGCAAAAGAAAAGGGAAAAAATGACTTTTACTCCCGTTAAATTTAAATTTAATTTTAAATTAATAAGGGAACAATAATTTGCATTCGCGCCGAATCCCAGATAGCACACAATGTTCTATGAATATTCTTATAAGATGCGAATGTTCTTAATTTCTGAATATTTAAATAGAATATTATATGAATATACGTAGAATATTACAATCAGAAATCGTATATTCATAATAAAGAAGAACGTTCTTAGAATATTCATCGAGTTTATTTATTGCACATAGTTTATTGCATATGTGCAGTACGTTTACTTAGCGCATCGCGATGCTCTGGCATAATCTGTGGACAATATACTACCGAAACATATAAGAGATTGAATTTGTTATTCGTTTTAAAGTATTAAAACTCGATATACTACACGCCGTATAGTATCTGCGGAGACAAAGTGTCGAGTTTCAATACTTTAAAATGAGCAACAAATTCAATCTCTTATATATTTCGGTAGTATATTGTCCACAGATTATTTTAATACCAAAAACACGCGAGCAACAAATTCTTTTAGTTAACTTATATGGTATAAGACCGCGTCATATAGGGTCCGCGGAGACAAAGTGTCGTGTTTCAATACTTTAAAACGACCAACAAATTCAATCTCTTATAAATTTCGGTAGTATATTTTGTCCACAGATTATTTTAATACCAAAAACACGCGAGCAACAAATTTTTTTAGTTAAGTTATATGGTATAAAACCGCGTCATATAAGGTCCGCGGAGACAAAGTATCCATTCTTAATACTTTAAAAGGAGCAACAAATTCAATCTCGTATATATTTCGATAGTATATTGTCCACAATACGTTGATGTAAGAAATATTTTTGTATGCATTATTTCTTTGAGGAATATCATGACTGTAAATACTATGAAATATAATAATTGTTCATAAGTAAAAGATTTTTATTTGGAAAATTATAATATTATTAATGTTTGTAATAAATATTCTTATATTGTACATCATAGGGAACGCTGTCAAAACATGATGTGGTAACTCTTACGAAAAATATCAGTAACCATGGAATAAATATACGTTATTAGCTATATGTTCACTTGTAACTACTTTTATTGTGTTTAATTACGATAATTATACGCAATCTTTGATGATGCAATCTTTCATAAATTAAGAAATGGAAAATCATGTTCAATCAAGGAAAATAATCAAGACTTCTATTACAAATATAAAAACATAACCAAATAAATGATAAAACAAAATAAATATTTTATATAAAATTGATATACATAATAATAGAGATGTTCTTATGATGAAATTTTATGCATAAATAGCGGAGTAAATAAATATATTTTTCTCGCAATAATTTTATCGGACGCTATCATTTTTCATATATATCTTATGTTTTTATTATCGAGCTGTAAATTACAAGTCATTTATTATTAAACGAAACTTCGTAAACCCGAAAATTTTAATTTTGATGAAACTTTACACACATCTAGAGGGAGTAATTATATAAATTTAGAAATTTTCAGTTGTCGTCCAAAAGCGATTTTGAAGAGTGAAATCACTCCTTATATGTCTAACGGCTTTTTGCTTTTCTCGATATATTTCGAAAACTATTCTAGATATTAAAAAATGTTTTATATAAAAGTTTCATGATAAATACAACTCTATTTAACCATATTAAAAAAATTTGAAAAAATATTAAAAAAATTTTTTTCAGAAATCTTTTAAAAAAATTATTTTTTCAAATTTTTATTAATGTGGTTAAATAAAACTGCTTTTACCATAAAACTTTTTAAAAACATTTTTTGATATTTCAAATAGTTTTCGAAATATATCGAGAAAAGCAAAAAGCCACTCTACATATGAGGGGTACCTTTCACTCCTTAAAACCGTTTTTGGGCAGCAACTGAAAATTTCTAAATTCATCTATTGTCGTCCCCCTCTACATTTCTGTAAAGTTTCATCAAAATCAGAATTTTCGGGTTTGCGAGATTCCCTTCATTCGCTTCATAACAAAGCGCGATTTACATCAAAGGAAACCATTATTTGTCAACTCGAAAGAGTATCCAGGCTGATTGGTTTGAGTAACGATAAAATATCTATGATATTACGAGAAGAAAGAGAGCACAGAGTTTCCTACATTATATAATTTAAAAATGCTGAAACGAATTAATGTAAGCGCCGCGTAAAAATAATGAGGACAAACGCGATTTTCAAGCATCGTTTGAAATTATATTCGCGCTAAAAATTTAAATAAAAAAACTCTTTTTTTTGAGGAATAAAATTACAAATCTATACGAAAGCATTGATTATGTATATATTGGCGGAACTATTAACAATGATTAATAACGCATGCAATTATAAATCGATAATATCTCGCTGCTTAATAGCATTACTCCGATAAATGTATGCTAAATCTTGAGTTTGTAAAGCGTGAAATGCTGCCGTTAGCTATTTTACCAATGAATATGTATGTTGCATCGCAGGACCGTTCCAGGAAATCAAATCTCCATTGTAGAGTGGATACAAACGATGTTCTTCGACGCAGATCGTTCGAGAACCGGGCTGTTTGTTAGAGTTTTTCAGCTTGAAGGACAGCGCACGAGCACGCACCGGCTGAACGCGACGCTATTTACTCGTTCGTGTTTTGATGTATTAACGGTTACCGTTTAAATATCGGCGAAAAGCGTTCGAATCTGGAACAAGAATATATGTATTTATCATATCGTACGTGCACGATAGCAAGCCCAGCGGCCGCGAATAAATCAGATTTGGAGCTAAGCTGATGATGTAAAGTTACAATATAGACAAATAGTCTCTCGTGTCATTTGACCCCGGTATAAAATCGTACAACACGTTATCGTTGCAACAACAACTCGCGAAAATCGTAGCATTGTTTGTCTCTTGTCGAGATAATTCAATAATGAATAATAAAATCAAATAATGGGGACAACCGCGTAAAATCTTGACGTGTATTACATCTCGATTCGATCGTATTTCCAACAACACGTGTTTCGAGCAGTCCTCTCCGTATCATTATTTGCAATATTAATAAATCTAGACAGTTACACATACCGGAACCAAACACATTCTTGATTTCATAAAATGCGTAAATGAGAGAATCGTCTCGTTTTAATATCTCGTAAACACATGAGAAGCACCGTTATATTTTCCCGGAAGATATTAATAAAGATATAATCCGTTCATTTGAAGAATAATACAAGACAAATTTCCAGATTTAATTGAAACGAAACAATAGTACCAATTCGTGCGATTTAATTTAATAAACTTTTAAGTCAATTTTGAATAATTTGAATAATTAAAAGAAATCATATTGAATAATTAAAAGAAATCAAATAAACTATTGATCCGATAAAAAAGAACAACTTTCGTGCAAAAAAAGTCGAATGATAATAACGTTGAAAATCGTAGCATTGTTTGTCTCTTGTCGAGATAATTCAATAATGAATAATAAAATCAAATAATGGACGACCGCGTAAAATCTTGACGTGTATTACATCTCGATTCGATCGTATTTCCAACAACACGTGTTTCGAGCAGTCCTCTCCGTATCATTATTTGCAATATTAATAAATCTAGACAGTTACACATACCGGAACCAAACACATTCTTGATTTCATAAAATGCGTAAATGAGAGAATCGTCTCGTTTTAATATCTCGTAAACACATGAGAAGCACCGTTATATTTTCCCGGAAGATATTAATAAAGATATAATCCGTTCATTTGAAGAATAATACAAGACAAATTTCCAGATTTAATTGAAACGAAACAATAGTACCAATTCGTGCGATTTAATTTAATAAACTTTTAAGTCAATTTTGAATAATTTGAATAATTAAAAGAAATCATATTGAATAATTAAAAGAAATCAAATAAACTATTGATCCGATAAAAAAGAACAACTTTCGTGCAAAAAAAGTCGAATGATAATAACGTTGTTAACAAAACAAACTTTCTCATCGATGTCGATTGTAATTGATACACGCGCGACAATGTAAAAAACATACACACACACACATATATATAGTTTCAGTTTGTGCGAGAACATATATGATGTCCTTATAAATTCCACATTTCTGAGCTTGTACATTCAGGGAAAGAACCCGTGTCGTTTTGTTTGCCGGTATCTGTCACGCGATAGTATTCATCCATCGAGTATTCAGTTTGTTGTAACGCTGGTTACAACAATAATCTATGCTCAACAGTAACAGCGTTGAATGAATCTACATACGCGCGAATTACCTTCATATATACTTGCCGGTGCGACGTAAATTTATACGCTTGAGATTAAAACCGAAATCAAATTGTAAGTACCGAAATTATTGAGTATAATAAAATGTATACTTTTATATATATACATAGCTCTAATAAGAAAAATAAATAGATTTTATTTAAATTGCGGTTATGTATATCTATTAATTGTGTTGTGTATTTCTATAAAAAATATTGTAAGTGATTTTACAAAATTATTGATGTTAAAAATAAAAATAATGATTAAATCAAGAATTCTAATTATGCATGTTCAAATTTTGCAGAAAACTTAAAACATTACGATGTATTAATTTAGAAGATATAAAAATTTATATAATCAATAATTATTCCAAAACTGAAATAAAATATATTCTTCCATTCTTTAGAAAACATATTCATTTACTCATTTATTTTAATTATGCATTTTTGCTTCCTCATAGAGAAAGCATTGTTTTCGTGACCAAATTTTTTTTCGAGTTTTTTATGCCAATGTGTTTAGAATGTTCGAAAACGTCGAAAAATCATATTCCTAAAAAATGTTTATATGTATGTATGTATGTATGTACGCGTTATATTGTGCAACCTCTAACTTCCGCAATTTTTGAGATATCTAATTAAATTTTTTTACATGGATAGAATATTAAAGGATAGTTGGTACTGAATTTGGTGAGGATCGGTGAAAAGATTCATTTTTTATAAAATTTTAAATTTTTTGAGAAATGCCTGTACACGCTTTAACTTTCGTAAATTTTGAGATATCGGGTTAAATCTTTTTGAATTTGCAGTAAATTTACGATATTTATGTATATTCATGATTATATCCATATTAATATTATAGTAGGCATATAAATGAATAATTAATAAATAAATGAAAGTGATTGTAATTACCGTCGAGCTGAGTGAATTCATCGGCCAGCAAAAATTCTGGTATTTCCGGCGGGGTGAAGACTGACGGTGCAGAACTCGGTGGTGTTACATTTTCCTAAAATAATAAAAATTCACTTCTGTCATTTCTATTATAATTAACTATAATTTAATTATTTTAGATTTTTTAAATTTGTATACATATAATTTTTTTTGCATTATAATATAAAATCTTAACCAAAATATATTCTCTTTTATAGATATATAATTTATCTTATAATTTTGATTGAAATCAAATTTCTCGTTCAATATATAATTAATTTGGTTTATAATTTTGATATATAATTTATTTCATTTCTTATAGTTAGAGAATATATAAAACATAACATTCTAATGTTGTACAACTAATAATTTATTTGTAAATTTTATTAACATAAGTATAATCTTTGATGATACGATATTGGGATTTTTCACCTATGGGGTCAAAGGAGACCCATCCGGAGCGCAAGATTCCACAACTTTTCGTATTAAAAATTAGAAAAATTCTATAAACATTTATTTTATTAACGATGTATTTTGTGATATTTCTAAGATTTTTTCATCGCATAAAATTTGCTTACATTTTTTCCGAAAGTAACGATTTAGTATTTAGTGAATATGAGCGTTTAATTTGCAATCGAGAGATAAAAAAAATTTTAAACTTAAAATACAAAATATTGTTTTTAATTATGTGGAATATCTTCAATCCCGTTGAATAAAGAATTCGATCAATTGCACAATATGCATTCTAATAATTACCGCTGCACCAGATGCATCTATCCTGACGATAGGCCGGACGAGCGCACACGCAACCAGAGGTTATTAACGTATTCGAGGGTCAGAAAAATCGATCTCCTTCGGGAACAGATCCTTATGAAATTAAGATCCTTCCATCCGGCCGCTCGTTTTCTCCAACGAATCCATCGTCTCCCTTCCTCCGCTCTTTCGCGCAGACATGTCGTCAATATTACGACTCCTTAATTAGAATGATCGTAGGGTTTTGCAGAGGGAACTGGCCGAACGAGGTATATCCTGGACGCTCAGCGAGCGTTTCAGCCTCTTGCAGGAATTCGTTCACTGTAAAATTCGAAATAAGTAAAATATACAAGATATCTTATAATATAATACATATATAACAATTTCATGTTTATCATAAAATTTGAAATAATATACATGATTATCTATAGTATAATTTATAAGAAATATTAAAAAATATATTATAAGAAGGTAAAAAATAAACTCGATTTTAGAGAAGTAAATTGTTAAATTTCATATAATATCAATATAAAAAAAACTCCTATTTCCTTATAATTTTCCTGATATCTTTCTTCTTATATACATTTTTGTGGTTCCTGCATTAGTAAAATAATGAACGAACTTTTTATTCATAACTTTTCAAATATATGAATTAATTATTAATAAATTAGTTTTATAGTTTTTCTGTTATGAATATTGTTATAAATTTTGTTATATATTACAAGGTAAAGAATTAATCTGGGGAAACTGTTTTATTTTTCTTAAATATAAATACTTAAAAAAATTTTTTTTTTTGTCAAAATAGAAAATACTGACAGGGCCAGCATTCCAGATGAGCTTCAACCGGATCAGTTAGAGAAGTTGCAGACGCTCAAGGAATCAAACGCCCTTTTTCTTAAATAAAAAATTAAAAATTGAAGAGCGCATATATTCCATGTGGCATGCAACATTTTTTTTTAAGATTATGGAGAAGATGGTTACAAGAAAATAACTACAATATTGATAAAAATTTTATAACTTCTAATGCTTACACGTGCATAGAAATAAATGCACATTATTTATTAATATTAGTTGAAAAATTAGTTGAGAAACTAATCACCTTGGTTTACACCTTGGTTATATAGCAGTCAATCATGCGAAACAATTTTCAAACGAATAAGGTCCATGACGTCTACTTTCTCAACAATAGTTAATTTTAATTTATTGAGCATTTTGAAACGTTTAAATCGACTGTAAATTTTAAACGAAATAAGTACTGACTTAAATAAGTTTAATTTATATCAATTTTAATTAAATCGCACAAAAGATTACCAAAGTTTAATTTACTTTAATAATACATATTCTTATTTTAAGAAGGTACATCTCAATTTCCACGAGAAAAAGATAATCGATTAAGAATTTTTTCGGACATTCCAATTTTAAAATCTGATGAAACTCCATCTACAGAAAAAATTTTACATATTTTGGATACCGCTAAAAATGATGCATTAAATATTGCAATAGAATTAAAAATGAATATGAATGAAGGAAAAATAAAGGAAAGTTTTGAAAGGATTCATATTCGACATTTAACTGATAAAGAAAGTGAAGAAAAAGAGCAAAATGACAATAATATGTATAAAACAACAAAGTAGTATTGGATCTGCTAATGAATATTTCGAAGAAGATTGGAAAAATCTATAAAATGATATCTTAATATTTAAAAATCAAACAGAATTAAATTTAAGAGATTATACGACTAATTGCAGAAAATAATAATTTTTTTGTATAAGATGTTATTATTCTTAAATAGAGTAAATAAATTAAAATTAAAATCAAATTGCAAAATTAAAAAGAAAATTAATTATCCACGTAATATGACAATATTACGTGGACAATATTAGATTCTGTATTTTAAGTTACTTAAAGATATTTTCAGTTGGTCGAAACAATATTCCATATGTATAATTACTTTATCCTACAAAAGATTGAAGTTTAAAAATTGCTTTAGCTATAAATATCGTATAGCCAGCATACGATAGCAAGCGAAACAAATTTCAATTAATTGTTGATTATTAATTTGATCGAACTCCGGCTAAATTTCCGGTTGATTCGCGTTTCTTTCATTTCGCCATTATTTATCAACATTATTTTCAATATTTTCAATATTCGGGGTGTCTACTAAAATTTTGTAAAAAAAATTCCCTGAAAATTTCCAGACCTTCCAGGTATTTTTGTTCAAAATTCCAAGTAAGGAAAATATTTGAAAAAATTTTTGGTGCAATTACCTAAAATAAGTTTTTTGTTGCACGCATTTTCTAATGCTTTTCATTCATACAAAAGGAAAACAGAAAACCACTTAAGTTTCAAATGCTAGATTTACAAATGTACTAAAGAAAAAAACTTAATAGCTTTCGTTAAGATAAAAATTTTTAACTTGTATAACATTTTCATTTTTTATCACTAAAAATTAAAATAAAGGATATAAACTGCATATTCAATATTTTGTTAAAACATTTAATATATAAACAGAGATATGGATATATATTTATAATGTATTGAACACATAATTCACAACTTGGCTTATTGACGGATTGCCTATTGCTTACAGTAGGATTGCAAGAGCAAAATTATCAGAGTGAAATTTTTTAAAAGATTCCTCAACTCCCAATAAAATTTCATGAGAATTTCCTGATTTTTCCAAGTACAAAAAAAATTCCCTGAGAATTCGAGATTTTCCATTTTTCCAAGGAGTAGACATCTTGAGAAATAGTTTTTAATAAAAACGGTTTTTTTTTTCTTTTTTTGTTAAGTTGACTTAACAATTTCTGAATTTTTTAATTACAAATTTAAAATAAAACATTTTTTTTTTTTTTAATTTAGAATTATAGACACCAAAATTTAGCGCGAGCTTAAACGTCGCTCAAACTTATGGATGCAAGATTTCCCTGCAAAAGAAAAGGGGAAAAAATGATCTTTACTCCCATTAAATTTAAATTTAACTTTAAATTAATAAACGAACAATAAAATTTGCATTCGCGCCGAATCGCGATCCATCGCAATTATTTCGATCAAAGCAACCGTCTCTTTCACTAACACTTTATGTTTGACGTTTATCCTCATTTCACAAACTGTATAACTGTATATCGCTCATACCGTCGAGAGCGCTTAAAATATCGATACGGACTTCTAAAAATGATACGCAATTAAGGTAAGTTAGAGCGAGCGGCCACGGGCCGGTACTTACTTCTCTGTACTGCGTACCGAAGAATCTCCTCGTCTCAGGAAATCCGCACACAGGAAATGTTCACTTATATTAGCGCATCACTACACTGCGCTAAGATCTCATTGGACACTTTGCGCTTAATTAATTATTCACTCGCGTTTTTGAAAAAATATGCACCGAAATATTACGCTCTACGCAATGCACGTAGTAAGTCGCACTACGCACGAACTGCGGTAACAACGGTTCTGCGACTCTGCGTGATCGCGATCTCCGTGTTGAGCCGCCGATGTACGCTCGTTTTGATTGGTATTGTCGATCGAACGGCAAAGGGCTACCAATCAGCGATTCATACGACTGTGACAAACAACCTATATAGGCAAATTCTCGAACCTTCGGCATGAGCTCACGATAAAGGAATTTCGGCTGTTACGTACAAATATATCTAATATATATTTTCGAAAATCTTCTTCACGACCGAGGGGTTCGGTTAATTTTTTAACATAATTAATAAAGAGATATGTGTGGCACAATAAGATGTGTGGGTATAATGAAGTGGGTATATTCAATTAGAAGACATATGCGTTTCGCATTATTAATATATTTTATCTGATTTTAAAAATTATAAAATATATTACATAATTACATAATATATATCAATGTTATATATAACTCTTTTCCATTTTGCATTTTATCATCAATGTTTCATTAAACAATAAAATAAAATTATTTAGAAACAAGAATAGCGCGCGCTAGAAAATCTTAGAAAGTATATTAATCTATCGGATATCACAATAAGTGTAAAATAGAAATATTCTCGTTACACACGTAATATGCATTGGACACTAATTAGGAATTATCCTCAAATACTAGAAATAATAATGTGACTTTATATGCATTTGTGCGTAAAAATTGATTGATCGCTTTCGCTATTAACTATATTTTGCATATATACTCACACGCAATCATTTTTATTATTATACAATAATACACACTGGCTTTTTTTATTGCATATATATATATATATCGAGTCTCGAATGAAATCGTTTTCATTGTTACATTACATTTTACATACACGCACACACACATTTTTATGACTTACATGGCTTTTTATTACATATATATACATTATTCGGATATCGAACGTGCAATCAGATACAATGTGATTTTTTCAGATCAAATCAGCTGTTTTGCGACATTGCCAATTTTTGCATCACTAATTTTCTCTGCCACAATAATTATGCTGTGTAATAAAATAGTATAAATATATCTTATTAAATAATTTTATCATTAAAAGATAAGTACTCTATAACTGAGTGGTTCGTAAAAAAAAAAAAAACTGACAAGGGGAACACCAGACATTGTTCCCTTCGATTTCGCTGAATTTGACGTATATTATAGTTCTATCCTTTCATTAATTCATGGTAAAATAATACGATCCAACTCTCAAGCATTCGCGAAAAAAAACTTTAAAAATTTACACGGGTTTAAAAATTAAAAAAAACATATTATTTATACATATTACATATATATTTTATATTTCGTATATGTCCTTATTTCCTTGTTTCGCTTTCTATTGTTAGCGCTACATCCTTGAAACTTTGATTGTTCTATATGATGCGATAGTCAAAACGTATTTTTTTGTATAATAATAATAATTAATTCCTTATCGATTATTAATAATCCAGTCTCGTGAATTTGTGTCTACAGTAAAATCATACGAGGCCGGTAATTAACTGCTGCTATTGTCAATCGATACACACAATTGTGACAACATCGGCAGCAGTGCTCGTGCCAAAAGACTGAGAAAGAAATGCATAGCCGTTAGTTGGATCGCAGTCCACGTCGATGCTGCTTGGTATTCAAGAGTTGCCATTGCAGCGACTTTTATTTACGCGTAACGATGAAAGACTCGATGGATGAAAATCAAGGTATGTACGTCTACGTCAGAAATAAATAAAGAAGTAAAATATAGGAATTGAATGAAGAATCGTATAAGAGAAGACTGGTGCTTCTAAGAATTTTTTTACAAAACACATGTGAAAAAAATACATGTAAAAGATTACAAGTTCTAAAAGATCCTTTTTTGTTGAGACTTACATGTATTGGATATTTTTAAATTAAAAAACTTTTTCTAATTTATTTTAATCGATTTATATATACCTTATGGTGCCGATATATCATGAACGGAATTTTATCTTTAATATGCCATTAAAAAATATTCAGGTTTCCTTGTAAAATTTTTCTGTCACTTTATGAGACACTATTTGTACATATATTAATAATATTTATATTATACTAAAATTATTATAGGATTTCCTTACCAGAGATGAAATTAAATTCCAATAAGTTTTTGCCCAACTCCATTTAAAGCGGTTTAACAAACGTCACTGTTGCTGCTAGCGATGATGCAGCAATAATGATAAAGTGAAGAAAGCAGCCATTTATTTAAATGAGAAATTAAATTACATTAACGATATATATATTTCGATAAAATTGAATATATAATTTTATTAAAACAAAAATGGGACAATACAATAATTATAAGTAAAATGTCATCTACTATACGGATTATACGGTATAAGCTTATATATATATATATGTATATTTTATTGATCAACAAATTTCATTACTATTTTTATGCGCCTCTATTATTCAAGGATTAATGTTACATATGTTACAATCAATTGCGTAAAAAAATTTCAAACGCGCGTAAAACGTTCGTCACGCTGATATCAATTGCGTTTATCAATATATACTTACAATGCAAATTTACTTAACACGCGAATGCATGTTAGTGAGTAAATTATTACGTACAACTTCTCTATTTTTACTTCGCAAATTCTCAATGCGAGAACCGCGCTCGCGAATCGCGCGTAGGTTCAGCTAGTCCGGTATTTTTGCGACAGCGAGGAGACTGTATAATATATTCGAAACATAAACGAGCTGTTTATGTACATGATCCAAAGAGCAAACCTCGTGATTAGTCATTAAATATCCACTCTCTTTTGTGTCTGACATTGCTCGCATTCCGCGTTCCACGTTCCTAAGATGAAATGAATGTATCTGTTGGGAAGAAAGGGACGAAATAGGCAAAGTTAGATTGTAGCTAAGAAAAGGATAAAGTTTTTATAACTAAGCGAGACGAGAAAACTAATGTATAAATTTACCATCGAAAGTTTCTATCTACGCTCAAAATAACAGAGCCTATTCAATTTTCTATTTCTTCTCGAACATTTTATATGTTTATAGCAAAAAAAGACAAAAGACTTTAATATGCAAATTTTTAGTGCAGGAAGAGAAAGAAAAATAATATTAGAAAATATAAAAGATATGTATTCGAGATAATATGTAACCAGAAATGTAAATTTTTCACATTTTTTTATGTCACGTTTATTTTTATAAATTAGCATGATTTTTAACGATAAGAATCCTTTCGAAAAAAACCTGCAAGTCACATGCTTCGTTGACAATATATGCTTATGAAACGTTCGAATATATGCATGAGAATGTTAACAACCAACATATATACAGGGTGTATCTGAAATGATGCACTAAACTTTAGGAGCGTATTCTAGAGGTCAAAATAAGACTTTTTTTTCTTATAAACATGGGTCCGCAAATGAACCCCCCTCCGAGCTAAAATTCGAAAATGTGTGAAATTCATTGTTAAGAACTTACGGCTGAAGTACGGACATTTTCTGCTTTCAATTTGACTGCGGTTATTCGGCGAAATAATTTTTTTTTCTGAAATACAGCCAATTTTTAATTTTTTCCCCAAACTTTAGGGGCCTCTAGCTCGGAGGAGGGTTCATTTGCGGACTCATGTTCATAGGAAAAAAAGTCTTATTTTGACCTCTAGAATATGCTCCTAAAGTTTAGTGCATCATTTCAGATACACCCTGTATAAAGTGTCCGAGTGCAAAACTAAGTCTTGTTTAGTTATATATATCCTAGTTAGCAAAGGTAGTCATTTGATGTAATTAGACTATACTTTTGCTCAAAGGTAGTCATTTGATGTAATTAGACTATACTTTTGCTCTACCTAGGTTATTTTTATCTTGTTTATAGAAATACAATAATTTCTATAGAATTTTGTAATTTTAGCTACATTGAAAGCGCATCTGTTTCAGTTTCAAGCGCATCTGTTTCTGTTTCAACGACAGTTTATTTACACGATCGAAAGAAAAATATAATTTTTTGTAACATCAATATTCGAATAAAGAATGCGCGAGAAATGGCAGATAAAAAGAGAAGCAAATGCTAGCTTTCGAATTCTTTTTATCTGTCTTGTATCTTTCACGCGTATATCGTTTCTTTCGATCATAATTGCAAAGATACGGGAGAAAAATGACATGAAATAAAAAAGATATACATTATACATCCGCTTGTTCCCATTTGACAAATGTATCATGAAATATTCTGCTTATGAAATACTTCCGACTTCCGACCTTTAGGCTCGACTCGCGCGTCAAATGTCAAATTATCTTGAACCTTGAAGTTCGCAATTAATAAATGAATGAGTAAATCATAGATTCGAGAAGCGAGCAAGATAGGCAGCATTCCCAGGTAGGACACACATAGAGACAATGTCACACGATTGGCTATCGAATAGAAAAATTTTCGGGACTAAAAATTCTCTATTCGATAACCAATTACGTGACATTGTGTCTACCTGCGTTTTCTTGCTGGAGACCTCTTGATATTGCATTCGCCATGCATGAAACCATATGTCAACATTGCATTTTAATCTCACTTTCATTGTAATATCCCCGGCAGCCCCGGATCCGGATCGCTTTATCGCTTATCGCGACACATTATACGTCATGACGATAGGTAAAGAATCTTTCTCTTCTCTTTTGACCACGCATTCGTGTATCTCACCATGTTTTACATGTGACACGAGATACACAAAGATAAAATATATACCCCAGGGCTTTGGGAAGAGAGAGAAAAAAAAGAGAAAATAGAAAGAGCATACCGGAAACGTCATTGATTGTCATTAACACAACCAAAGCTTGATATTTTCCTTATATTTGCAGAAACTGATGTTTCCGCGTTATGCATCGACGTAGCAAAGGTGAAATCATTGGCTGGAGAATCGCGGAAATCCGTAAGTCTTTCCCTCTTCTCGTTTTTTAGAGTGTGCATTTTAATTTTGTTCTTGCAGTGTCGGTAATAATTATTTTTGAATTCTTAAACAAAAATATACAAGTCCTTTATTTTTATTATTCATTGTTAATATTATATATATATATATATTTTTAATTAAAAGAGTAATTAATGTATATATTGAAACCTACCTAATTGTTATGCGATCTAGTAAGAATACAATAATATATGTGACAAGAAAATATACCTTTAAATTATAAACTTTATATATATTAAGAATTTGTAGCAGGAGAAAGAGAGAGAGAGAGAGAAGAGTCTCTATGTATATGTGACTTCTTTTTATATTATGTAATATAATGTGACAAAATCAAATTATCATCAGCAATTAATATCAACATAGCATTATCAAATTGAAAAAAAATATAAAATAAAAATCCATTTGAATAATACCATTATATTAGCATTTATTTATTCCACTTAAGCTTGATTTTGCTAACGCAATCAAAAAAATAATGCATATCTCAATTATCATATCATATCATTTCCAACTCTTTTAATATGTATAATTTTCTGCCTTTCGACCACT